TATACACCCCGTGGTAGCAGGAAAAGACGTGAGAGGTTGCTTTTGGATGAAGATTTCTGAAGGAGAAAGCTATTATGTAGCACAGATTAGTGGTGAAGATATCTTTCATGTGTTGATAATGAGAACTTGTCATCGAGGGAAGCTTCTTTGAGACCCTAGACCTCTACGTCAGAAGCCGTGCATCTGTAAAATGCCCTGTTCCAAGTAAGGCAACTTCATCACTAGGACAAAGACTGCAGGTGCCTTGTTAATTATGTCACAGTGGACATAGTTCCTGGGCAGTGCTACGTAACGGTTCTTCAGCACCACAGGCCTGCTCGTAATCTGTACACATTCATAAATTGTATACATTGGAAGCATAAAATCTGTTAAAAGAGAATTTTTCTTCTTTCCTTGAATTCAATCCCTTGTCATAATTTAACATTTACTAACTACTGGCGATTTGCCCCAGTAAAGGAAGGACAAGACATCCACAGGGAGAGTCTTAATGTAAGAGATTTTATAGTTGGGGTAGCTGCTTACTTTACATGACGGGTTGCTATGTTGACCTAAGGTGATTAATCCCTCTGAACCCTGTGTTCTTACTACTACCCACTTGTGTGTCGTGGTTTTCAGCGGTGAGCCGGGAGGTTCTAGAAGTGTATAGTCTTATAATGAAAAAAGAATTAGACTATCTGGAGTACGATTATGAAACTCGGACATAACTTAATTAGAAAACACTTTCTGGAATCAGATACCAAATTCTGTTGTTTAAATTGTGTGGTGTAGACCTTCAGAGATGGGAAAGATTGGCCTGTAGGGAACTAGAACACCAGAGTGGCTGGGGAGCTGACTGGACCGTTAGGCACGTTTGCGCTCTTGCAGAGAACGTGAGTTCAGTTCCTGGTGCCTTTGTGAGGTTCTCACAACTGCCAGGAACTAGCTCGAGGGCACTCTGATGCCCCTGACCTCCAAGGGCATAGGAACTCAGTGCACATAGTCACATGCAGATACATGGCTTAAAATAATAAAAATGAGTCTTTGTTAACAGAGAACACTGAAGTAGAATTGCACTACATAGATGTTCTGGGGACATCTGTCTTCAGAGGTGTGAATCCATGTCCATGCTGGGTTTACAGAACAATGTTACATTTTTTAATTCTTTTTATTGATATTTATTGAGCTCTACATTTTTCTCTGCTCCCCTCCCTTCCTCTCCCCTCCCCACTTCAATCCTCCCACAAGGTCCCCATGCTCCCAATTTACTCAGGAGATCTTGTCTTTCTATACCTTCTGCTTCCCATGTAGATTAGATCTATGTAAGTCTCTCTTAGTGTCCTCATTGTTGTCTAAGTTCTCTGGGATTGTGGTTTGTAGGCTGGCTTTCTTTTGCTTTATGTTTGAAAAACACCTATGAGTGAGTACATGTGATAATTGTCTTTTGGTGTCTGGGTTGCCTCACTCAAAATAATGTTTTCTAGCTCCATCCATTTTCCTGCAAAATTCAAGCTGGCGTTATTTTTTCTGCTGGGTAGTACTCCATGTGTAAATGTACCGCATTTTCCTTATCCATTCTTCGATCGAGGGGCATTTAGGTTGTTTCCAGGTTCTGGCTATGACAAACAAAGCTGCTATGAACATAATTGAGCACATGTCCTTGTGGCCCGATTGAGCATCCTTTGAATATATACCCAAAAGTGGTACTATTGGGTCTTGAGGAAGGTTGTTTCCTAATTTTCTGAGAAATCGCCACACTGACATCCAAAGGGGTTGTACCAGCTTGCATTCTCACCAGCAATTCAGAAGTTTCCCTTTTCCCCACAACCTTTCCAGCATAAGTTGCCATCAGTGTTTTTGATCTTGGCCATTCTTACAGGTGTAAGATGGAATCTCAGAGTTGTTTTGATTTGCATTTCTCTGATGACTAAGAATGTTGAACATTTCCTTAAGTGTCTTTCAGCCATTTTAGATTCCTCTGTTGAGAATTCTCTGTTTAGATCTGTACTCCATTTTTTCTATTGGATTATGTGATCTTTTGGTGTCCAATTTTTTGAGTTCTCTGTATATTTTGGAGATCAGACCTCTGTCTGATGTGGGGTTGGTGAAGATCTTTTCCCATTCTATAGGTTGTCGTTTTGTCTTGTTGTCCGTGTTCTTTGCTTTACAGAAGCTTTTCAGTTATAGGAGGTCCCATTTGTTAATTGTTTCTCTCGGTGTCTGTGATGCTGGGGTTCTATTTAGGAAGTGGTCTCCTGTGCCAATGCGTTCAAGTGTACCTCCCACTTTCTCTTCTATAAGGTTCAGTGTGGCTGGCTTTATGCTGAGGTCTTTGATCCATTTGGACTTGAATTTTGTGCATGGTGATAGATATGGGTCTATTTTCATTCTTCTACATGTTGATATCCAGTTATGCCAGCACCACTTGTTAAATATGCTTTCTTTTTTCCATTTGATTTTTTTTGCTTCTTTATCAAAGATCAGGTGTTGGAAGATGTGTGGATTGATATCTAGGTCTTCTGTTTGGTTCCATTGGTCCTCCTGTCTGTTCTTATGCTCCTGGGTACATCTGTCATCAGAGATGTGGGTGCATGTTACATGTTTGTATAGTTCAGAGAGTTTTTAGCTTCATTGTACAAATTTCTTATCCCCACCATGATTTGAACAGAACTAAGCACGGAACAAATGTGTAATTAATGGGGAAACCATATACTACTACGAGTGGTGTGCAAATGTACATTATAGCGTAGTTTAAAAGCTGGGTCCACGGGGTATTGAGGAGCCTGAGGCAGGAGAATCTTGAACTTGAGGCTAGCCTAACATATACAAGGTAAACTTGAGACTGTACAGAAAGACTCTTCCTTAAAAAAAAAAAAAAAAGCAATAAAGCCAGGGAGGTTATTTTGTTCTGTCCAGCGCAGCCCAGTGGGGCTGGTTTCCCATGGCCGGTGGTGCCCGCCCCAGATCCTCCCACAGCAGTGTTCCTCCCGGCATGTTTTTGGAGCTGTCTCCTGTGACTCATTCGCGGTATCCTCAGAACCTTTTTTTGGCTGAGAGTAAGTTTGATTTGAGGAAGCAGGAGTCACTTCGGGCCAGGTATGGTGAGTAAACTGGAGGATCGGTGCGAAATGCTATTCCAGCCTCCTGTTTCGGTGACTAAGCAGCAAGAGTGTTTTCTAGCTTTGACTCATAAAACAGCTAGGGAGTTAGCTTCTTTAAAAAAAAAAAATGAGCTTTAGGTTTTGTCATTTTCAAACTAAGTCTGCATGCGCTCATGTAAGTCCCTGCTCCAGGATATCAGCTTCTCAGAGTCCAGGCCGGCTGTGCCTGGTTTCCAGGATATCAGCTTCTCAGAGTCCAGGCACCTGTGGCTGCTGTCCTCACCCCTGCTCCATACGCACCGTGCAGCCTCTTCTGAGACCTGCGAGTTCGGCATAGACTCACTTGAGGCAGGCAGAGCCTGCTCTTGCATGGGGCTCAGACTGCTGAGATGCTTTCTCTGTCAGGACCAGTGTGGTCTGTACTCCCGTGGGAGTCTGTTCCCCGCATGCCTTGGACTTCATAGCAATCTGGAATCGTGTTTAACAGGGGTCTCTCTTCTCTGTTAAAACCTAACTACTACTAATGTAATCAGGAAGGGCATGGTTTTAGGGGTTTTATATTATTTGGGAGTAGGGAACCATATGCTTGATTGCCACAGCACTTATGTGGGAGTCAGAGGGATACAAAAGATTTGGTTTCCTCCTCCCACCATGTGTGTTCAAGGAACCCAATTTACACCTCAGGCTTGGAGCAAGTGCCTCTACTATTATTCTTTTTAAAAATAATGATGTTGGGATGGCCCAGGCAGCTTGCAGCCAGGCAGAGGCTGCCACCAGAGCAGTGCAGGGTCCCCGGGCGTGGACATAAGGCTATACATAAAGCTAAACATTTATTACTTAAAGAAAGGGAGACATAGACAAACATAGAGAGAGATAAAAAACACGTGTGCACACGGCAAGAGACGGACAGGAAAGAGAGAAGCCAAGATGGTGTCGAGGTCAGAAGTGGCTAGAAGTGGGCGTGGTTAGCTCTTAAAGTGACAGCAAAGAATAACATCTACACACTTACAGGGCCAGTTTAGGGTTTGTTTTTAAACATTGATTGGGTAAAAGCTGACTGTGAATGAGTGTGTGGTACAGAGCAGCCTGTAGCCCTGACGACTGTGTGTGTGTGTGTGATACAGAGCAGCCTGTAGCCCTGACGACGTCCGACTGTGCTTTTCAGGAGATGACCCATAGCTTCCTGTTACAACAAACAAACAAATACAGTTAGGCACCAGAGTGCTCTAGGTCCTTCTATACAGCAGATCTTTGCTGAGGTCACAGTGAAAAGCAGTAAGGACTGTGCTGCTGTCCCCTAAAGCCAACAAGGCCAGACTGTAGTGTGCCCCGTAAAATCTCATTGCCATTTCATTCTCAAGTTGGCCACACCCAGAGCAGAACTTACACAGTGCAGTTTGAACCAGCTTTGTGTTTGTTTGTTTGTTTGTTTGTTTGTTTGTTTGTTTGAATCACAGTGCCATTTTATCAAAACACTCAGGGTAAAAATATTCTAGATAATGTAACTCTGTTTAAGAGCTGACATTTTCGGCATTTGGTAAAATAAGGGTGAAACTGTTGCCTGAGCCTGTGTCTGTCTGCCCCACTCTTGTCCCATCGATGCTGGCTTTCCACAGCACCCTGTGACTGTCCCCAGAGCATCACCCCAACAGCTGCTGTTGACAACGGCACATTCTTCATCTTCCTGTTTTATCATTCAGCCCTCCATAACAGTGCAGGCAGTGATCGCTCTGCTGTGGGTTACTTGAGGTTTCTGCAAGGTGTAGCTTGTGGGTTCTTCAGGGAAAGAATTCATGCTTTAATTGTTGACCATGCTTCTAAGATGGTGTAATGAATTTTCTGAAATACCTATTTAAAAACTCATTAGATTTCTAATATATTTTAGATTATTTTACAGTATTAATTTCTTTTTTCTGCATTTAGTTAAAAAATCTAAGTTTAGAAGAACTACAGATGCGGCTAAAAGCACTGGACCCCATGATGGAACGGGAGATTGAAGAGCTGCATCAAAGATACAGTGCGAAGAGGCAGCCCATCCTGGATGCCATGGACGCGAAGAAGAGGAGACAGCAGAATTTCTAACCGACTCCCTCTGCCCAGCAGGACCAGAGACCAAGCCACCACAGAATGGAAGGGATTGCACTACTTTTTAATCCCTAAAATGTATGTTCTACAATTTTGCAAAAGTCAAAAACTAATGATGGTACACCTAGGTAAATTCCAAAGGCAAACCGTACAGCTGTGTCCCTCTCGCTTCGTTTTGAAAGGATGAGAACGATAGAAATGTGTTCTTTCTGCCAGCTGTTCCACCAGCAACCAGACCAACCAAATTTAAAGCTATATTTGGAGACTTTGGAAATTCAAAACTGTTGCTTAATCACGTAGTACTAGAGGGCTTTATGTTACAATACTCTTTATTCCTGTGGAGAAGCCTATTTATTGTACCTCTTAGGTAGATTTATTTATTTATGCGGTTTCACTTTTTGTTTTTTAAAGACTAGATCAGGATAGTTTTGGTGGATGTCCAGACACACTGATAGATGCAAACACACAACTAAATTGTACAAAAGCAGGGAGCTCTGGGTGCGTTCCGTCATCTCCAGTAAAAACAAAGCAACAAGGGCAATAATGCTCAAATGGACCAGACATTTTTATACTGAAGAATAATTCCATTTATCCCTTCTTAAATATTAATTCTTGACTTTAATCTTGGTATAAATAAGGCTATATGTGTATGTGTGTGTATGTCATACAGAATTATACCCTGTAAAAACAAAGAAATCAATGAATCCTTGCATGCGTGCACGCACACACACACACACACACACACACACACACACACACACACACACAC